CAATTAGCCATTCCGAAGTTGATGAGAGGACTGGGGACGAGTGTTAAGAAGTGCCCAAATTAAGAAATGAACCAAATCACTAAAAAGACCACCTCAAAATTAGTAAGTATACAAAGTTTGAAGACGTTTACATGAATATCCTTCGAATAACAAGCTTTCGAAAATCGTGATATTTACTATGAAATGTATTGTAATTTCTTGTTTTTGGGACGCGCGTCCCCAAAACAATCTTTTAATCAGTAATTTCACAATTTTCGAAAGCTTATTATTCGAAGGGTATTCATGTAAACGTCTTCAAACTTTGTATACTTACTAATTTTGAGGTGGTCTTTTTAGCGATTTGGTTAATTTCTTAATTTGGGCACTTTTTAACACTCGTCCCCAGTCCACTCATCAACTTCGGAATGGCTAATAGGTAGTGCCATGTATTTGAAGATGTCCAAGTTTTTAACAATAATTTTTTTTTATTATCCATAATGAAAGTGAAACTAAGAATCACGAGTTACCTGCATTCCTACTTCGTTTCCATAATCGACCTTTCGGCATCATCTCTTTCCAAAATTCACTTGCTAATGTGATGAACTTGTGTTTGAAACTCTCCCAAGATTCAACCTCGATAATCTGAAATTTTATGTGATGTTTCGATAATATACCCTTCCGGAAAGTACGTCACTTTTGGCTATTGAGCCTCGTTTTCGTGTATCTGACATTAGTCAAAGCCTGATGCTCAGTCATGAAAACGAGGCTCTATAGCCAATGTAACGATCTAATGATTACGTCACACATAGTAAATTACGCAAGGTGATTGGCTCACGATTCTTGAGAGCGAGGCTTCAAGGTCAAATGACGTAATTATCGAAAGAGTGTATTGAAGGAACATGTTTGCTTCACAAGTTAAGAGTATAGAGTAAAATTATAAAATATAGGGCGCATTAAGATCTGATGTAATGTAACGTTGTTAATGGGTTAACTAGATACATGGCTGGATGGTCTGGTTAAGCCAATGAGCACCAGCGCTCTGCCTTTGACAAGAATAATAATTTGGTGTTAGACAGAGTAAAATAATCTGGCACTCGACAGGGTAAATTAATACAGTACACACGCAAACATATCACATCTTGTAGCAAGGCTGCCCAAGGGCGTAGGGACACATTCGAGATTGGGGGGGGGGGCTGAATTCCTCAAGGCGCCACCATGGTTGGCGCCGAGCGGAAAATTTTTTGAAAATTAGAGGCTCTAGATCCTTGGAAATGGCCATTTCAGAGCCCTATTTAGCCATTTCAGTTTCGAATTTCACTGCATTTATTGTAAATTGAGTAAATTCAATGATCTTTGGGGGGGGGGGGCAAAAGCTATCTCGGCCCCCCTTATAAATTTGGGGGGGGGGGCCGCTTCCTACGCCCCTGAGTCTGCCAACAAGTCATCAACAAGTTGTATTCGCACTGCTTGTTCCAAGTTGTCAACAAGTATGGACAAATAAATGGACAATCTTGTTAACAGTTGTAACAACCTTAACCTTGTTGATATTATCAGACATGTTGCAAGGTTGTTCCAACAAGTCCGACACAGTCATGATATCACAATATTGTTAGTATTTGTTACAACCTTGTGTCATCAACCTTGTAACATTCTTGTTAATATCATGACTGTATCAGACTTGTTAGAATAACCTTGTAAGTGTAATAAGTCTGCTAATGCCATCAAGCTTGTTACAAGCTAGTTGTTAACAGGTTGTTCACTGGGAACCACTGGGAACAAACAGTACAAACATAACTTGCCGACAGCTTGTGAACAGACGTGTTACAACTTGCTTACAGACCTGTAACAACTTGTGCGTTTTTACGTGTGTAGCGTGCATTTATAGGACGCAATGTAACTTAATGCGTTAATGTAGAATCTTGCATTACCTGAAGAAATCCGGCTTTTCTCTCCATCTCATCCCAATGATATTTCAATGCCATTGCATGATCAGAAGTATTCCCCAACTGACAATGCATTTGTTCCATCAACTGTAATGTGGTGTTTACAGATTTCATTAAAATACTCATTTCATACTGAGACACTACGAAGAACTGCTGCAACGTCCAACTGGCCAGAAACTGCTTCACTTTAGTTGTAAACCAGAAGATGCAATAATTCAGGAACAACCCAAATCTATCTAAGACATCCTCGATGCGGACAGCCAGGCTTGCCGAGGAGCGAAGACTTGTGTCTCTGCCAGTGCACTCCTCCCAGTAACTTGCCATGGTGAAGAAATGTTGGAAGACCGAACATGCCTGGACCATGAGACTTGTGCTCTTTATTGATGACACACCATCAACAATCGCAGTTGATTTGCATTTATCTTGATGGCCAACTGCAATCATCAGGCAATAAACTAGAAAATATTAATAACCGTACTTGTCAGAATGAAAAATATAAGCATATGCAACAGTAACATGCACTAGAAACAAACCATTTAGTTTAATATTTATAACAAGCTTTCACTGGTAGGGATGCAATTACCTGAAAATATGTGAAGAATTTCGACGTTTCGAGCGAAGGCCCATCGTCTGGAGTTACTAGTATGCTGCAGTATTTGCCCAGTTTTATTAATTGCCCATCCTGTATTTCAGTTTATTTCCATTGTGGTATTTTGACATACAGTTTAATAGACAAATATAGTACAAACTAAGGTAGGAATATGAATTTGAGAGGTAGGAATATTAAATATTTAAGGGGGAAAAAATTCCTCTTCCAGTCCCCAAAACTAACCTCTGTGAAAATATAGAAAGTATAGGTAAAGTAAAAATACTTTGACAGACTTTATTTGGCAACTATATAACGATATTATTTAGGATCTTGCATAATTTTTTTTATTAATCATTATGGCAATTTTGCCAATAGGATTGTTTAGGGGCATATGATTGCAAGGTATTTGTTATCACTTCTTCACAACGAAAATCTAAACATACGGTACTTACGACTATCAAGACTTGAAAGCACTGATCTAAGATAGAGAGAGTGACTGACATGTCGAACAGACTGAATCCCAACTTCTGTAAATGGACCTATGTCACAGAAATAGATTATAAAATCCATATTAATTAATGACCAAACCATTTTCACATATTATGGAAGAGTAAAATCATCTGATGCTAGACAGAATAAAATAACAAAGTAGGGTGCATTATGGTACATTGCAGCTTTTAATTAATAGGTTAATTAATTTAATACAAATAAAATGATCTGGCAATAGAAATGGTAAGATAACAAATGGACCTATTCCCAAAGAACAAAATTTTGATCTAGACAAGTCTAGACAAAAATTTCATCACAGCTTGAAAGAGCATCACAAAATTAGTAATATTCCTAAGTTTCGTTGCGAAATGTTGTAAAAGCTGCAAAGTTTGCCGTTTTTCTTAATTAATTTACCTTTAGTTTTTCAGAAAGCGGTATCAATTTCCTGTGCGTAATACAAAATAACTGAAAAACGGCAAACTTCACAGGGCTATATTATCCGCATTTAACAACATTTCGCAATGAAACTTCGAAATATTACCGTACTAATTTTGTGATGCTCTTTCAAGCCGTGATGAAATTTTTGTCTAGATCAAAATTTTGTTCATTAGGTAATAGGTCCATTAGGAGCAATAGGGTATATTGCAGCTTAATTGATTAATTTAACAATTATTTTTAATTTGGCTGCTAAGTTGACAAGTTTGTTAAAATTCACATGTATTTGTGGGCCAAATTCACATGTATTATGAAATGCACAAACAAAGCACATGATTGGACACTAGATTGCTATTTAGAGGTTGTTTAGCCAATCAGAACATTTGTTTCCAAAACCTGATAACAAAATTCACAACCATGTTTCAGTGTCCTCTTATTCAGGTGTAGCTGCACAGTGACAGTAGATCACACATTACAAATTAGATACTATCAATTATCTGGCAAAACACCTATGCAAACAGGGGCATAAAGACAATGAATAAAAGAACAGTAAGATGTCATGACAAAGGTTAAAGATTCAATAAAAAGCTGTCAAGCAAGATAAATTAAAAGAACAGTCAAATCTATTTATCAACACAGCTGGAGATGGACTCTATTGAAACAGCACAATGTTCTGTTTACTTTGTTGCTAAGAGGTTGCTAAGGGCATCCCCCAAACTCCAACTGAGTGTACAGGTCTTGTAAACATGATTAATATTATTATAATAACCGAGTCATAGTTGCTTTATTACTTTAACTTACTCTCACAACAGTCTAACACCAGATGACTTTATTCATCACAAAAACACATTTGCACATTAATTTAAAGGGTCGGCAAGTGTACCTATGCCGTTCTTATATGCATACCTGCTCAGCAAAAAATTAATATAACAGCTAGGCTAAATCAGTATAATATGCAGCTAGAATAATTGCATCAATACACACATAGCCTAAGTTAGTACTGACCAGGACATTAGCAGCTGTGGTGGGTTTCTAAACTGTATACTTGAAATATTTAAATGTGCCTTAACTTCAGCCACAAACCACAGCAGGTTATTTAGGAACACTACTTACACGTACTGGATCCCAGAATCAATATATTTATATGGATAGCAAAGTAGATAATAATAGCATACAGTTAGTGCAGAGGTTATATAATATTATCGTATGGCAATTAAGGTACCACACTCATGATCATTGATCAATACACACAGGTTCAGACTTGACTTCCACTACCAATACCACAACCATATTAAGCCAGTAGAAGTAAAATCTGAACATTTCTAATGCTACTAACCTGTTGCAGCCAAGTTATCAAAATGCTGTGTAACACCAATGACGACTGCTGTCGACCAGCAACATACAGGTCCAATTGTGGTATCCATAGCATAAGGCCATCTTAACAATTTCAGAGTGCTGTAAAACTCCAATCCAAACCTATTCCATAAGTCATCTCTATAAATAGCAAATAACTGACATTTCGCTTTGGTAGGTTTGGACTCCATAAATAATGCACGGAGATCTTGATTTGAGCCTTGGTTCTCCTGCACTGACGAGGCCTCGTTAACATCTGAGTACTCAGATCCATCCATCAAGGCATTGATCGAGTTCTGTTTCATCTGACATGCAAGACAAGTTGCCTGAGCTGGATTGCACGCATGACCATACAACTGATTGTGTTCTCTGCAGAATTCACCAGACTGTCGTTTCACTTCATTCTCGTGATGCAAAAAGGCACAAACTGATGCAGTACCCATTAATTGCTTGATAAACTCTTCCTCTTTATGACCATACTTCTTGATAACAGACTGCAACTTTCCATATCTAACATTTACAGTACACTCGAGCAAATCCTGGGTTGATAAGTGGCCATCAGAATTCCACGAAAAGTTTGTTGTCGATAAAAAATCCTGTAATTCAATAGCTTTCGTCTCTTGTACAAAATGCTCATGGGTTAATTTTGCCAGCAACTTAGATCTTTCAATGCAAATAGTAGATAGAATTTCAACAAGATCCAAGGTCGGCAATGCACTGTTTAGAGCAGCACACTTGTCCTTAGTGTTAAAACTGTATAAGTTTCTCGAGTCGCAACCATGTTTTATCTCTGCCGATATTATGTGGTTAAATTCTTCGATACCCTGCAGGAAATTTTGCAGATCAACAGTGCTTGAAAGTTGCTTAAAACTGGCATTGGCAAGGACTCGAACACCAGCTATAGCTATCATGTGCAGCCAATGTAAAATCTTTCGGCGCAAACATAAGAAGGAACGTTTAAACTTCTGAATTTGCAAGCGAAGGACAACAATATGTCTCACTGGTAAAGGCTGTTGGCTTATTTTATACTCTAAATGTTGCCAATGGAATAAATGGACTTTGGCTTCTTTGCAGATTTTGTGGTAATAATCTAAATTGAGTCGTCTATTCTTTGACACATCATGAGAATATATGCCATTTAAGCGGGAAAGTTCATGTTCAACATACGTTTCAAGTTTCTTCTTGAACGTGAGAGCACATGCAAAGCGTTTTAAACATTCTTGAGTGAGTTTTAGCTCCGTAGAAGTCAATAGATGCCTTTGCAGTGCCTTCAAATGAGAACAATACAACGAACCGCCAGAAAAATGGCCGAAACATGTTTCATTCTTTGTTGCTAAAAGAAGTGGTTTTTCTCCGGTTGACAGTCCTTTAGTTATCTTTAACGACGAAGCAATACAAATGTTAATTCCAGTATTATAAGTCTGTGTATCTTGACAGCTTGATTCTCCTTCAACTTCAGAAGTATTTTCCGCCATTTCCACAACAAAAAATTACAGATAAATATGCCGCAAATCCATGACCCAAACAAACCGTAAATTTCGTTTTCTTCGCCAAGACTCGAGCATATTCTTGAAGCTTTATATATAGAACAGGGTAATATTGTGTAAACGAAGTTTCAGAGTAGCACACTTACAACAAATCTTTTCAATGAAATCGATTGCAATAATCTCAAGAATGAGAAATGAAGCGGAAAATTTCAAAACAAAATGCAATCGTATACCGGGAGGGGGGAGGTGGCATTTCATAAAGAAAGGGGGGAAACAAGTTTTCACTTGTAAATGAATAGGTTTATTTAAATAGTAGGTTTATAAATGATTGATACTATATCTGTGGACGACAGAAATTTGTTTACTATCCCAATGGGCCAGTGGACACTGAGTTTGTGATCCAGTATCCAAATTTAAAATCTAATATCCCATGGATACAGATAATAAAAAAAAAAATAATAAAAAAAGGTGCAACTCAGCCAACCACTGCCATGCCATGATTTACAGTCACAACTCACAATACTGCCATTATGTTCCTAGCCAGTGCACTTACCAGCAGGTCTGTGGGTGAACACAAACTTTGGGTCCCTTTGTGTTTTGGGACCCCTAAAAAAGCGGGGGGAATAATTGTTTCTTGTTTCTTTGGTGTTACACCCCTATAACCCCCACCCCAATTGGTCCGGCCCTGCTTCCTTTGGTGTTACACCCCTATAACCCCCAACCAGTTGGTCTGGCCCTGAGGTACCTCCCCCTGAACACAAAAGTCAAGCCAGACATTTTTAATGTTTTCAGGGGAACACACCTCTCCTTAGCACACTGGCTTGGGAATCATGATGTGGCAGCAGTTATGCCAAAATCATAGGTGCTGACAAGAAGTTGTACTTCTGTAAATGTTTATTCTATGTCATGGGGATACTAGTGCGTACTTCTGTAAGTGTTTATTCTATGTCGGGATACTAGTGCAAATTTCAATCCCTGCCCTGCACCCGGTATGCAGGTTAAAATAAGAGTCTTAGACTCTATTATTGTGTACATAATGAACCGCTTGCCTCCTACACATACCTACTTAGCAGATAAAGGCCCATTTACACGATACGATTAGTTGTATACGATTCTCACTCTGGCGTATGTGATCGAATAAACACGCGTACAAACGTCACATTTCAAATTTCGCCATTAGCGAATAAGCAATAACGTGGCATTAGCACTCGTTTTCATTCGTCAGAATGACAATCGTATACAACTAATCGTATCGTGTAAATGGGCCTTAAGGTAAAGATTATTTCTAAATAGGTAACATATAGGAGACAGAGTATGTTGATCTATTAGCTATAAAACAAAAATGTATTTTAACAATATATTAAAAGTAAAAATTTATTTCTGCACACGGTCCTACTGGTCAAACCAATCATTTTGTCTCGCTGATTAATCTTCATTGCACCCATTCACACTTGCCATTTTTTCCATGATCCTTTAAGACCTTTATTTTTCAACATCGAATGGCTGTTCCAACGGACATAAACACACCAAATGTCCCTCCACCTTGTAACATAGACTTTCCAACCAAACCCATAAGTTCTCTACCTCGCAAACCAGCTCTGGAATATTTATTGCAATAAGAGTAAGTTTTATTATCAACCCATTGAAGTGGCAGCAGGCAGGTATAAAAGGCCAACCGGATCACTAGTCGGGCCAGTTCTGAACCGAACTTGAAGCAGACTGGCGATCTGGTTAATATACCTTTAGTAAAATCACAAAGTAAAATTATAAGGTAGGGATTGCCAGAAGGGTTAAAATCACTATTAAAATGAAACTGGGATGCTTTGAAAAATCTTTCCAGTGAGGCACACGTGTTAATAATATTATTATTAATATGCAAGTGATATTTTATGTATGATCATTTCCTTCCATACCTCAGCGCTGCATATGTGCCAAATAACCCAGCAGCACTCATTCCCACTGCAAATCCGATCATAAATCCCATCTTAACTCGATCAAAACAACTCACTTGCTGCCCTCTTTGCATTGTTTTATAGTTCAATGAAACTAAAAACAAAATTGGAACGAAAAATAATTTGAGATGAAACGCAGTATTCTTTATAAGAAGATTGGGTCCGAATATTAAGTTTCACAAATTTCGCATAAATTATTTCTTATTTTCAAAATGGTGGATTTGTCATGACATTACTAGTATTAACAATGAAAGAGAGACTTGGAGCAAGTCTACGTTTCAGAGCGAAACGAAAATGTCAAGATGTAGCGGCACGTAGCAGCACGCTGCGCACATTTTGTGAGAGGCCTCAGTAGAATATATTTCTAGTCTTTTTTGTCACAAAATAATTGACATTTGAGTCATTTGACAATGCCTATTTATTTATACTTCGCAGTTCATTAGCTAAGTAGTAAGATAAATTAAGTATTAGCTATGACGATGACTACACAGCACACACATAAAGACGCACAAGTCGTAACAAACCTGCAGCAGACTTGTAGCAATGCTGTTCCAACAACTTGTCAACAGGATGTATTCGCACTGCTCGTTCCCAGCCTGTTGACAAGTTGTCAACGGCTTGTTGACAACTTGCCACAAGGTTGTTGAGCTCAACAGATCAACAGACTTGTTACAAGTTGTTCCAACAAATTGTTATCGTCCTGCAATTCAACAATTTGTCAACAAGTTATGAGTGCCGACAACCTTGTAGCAACTTGATAACAGTAACAGCATTGTTACAACTAGTTGGCAAGCTTGCCACAAGGCTGTTGCGAACACACCTTGTTGAATGTTGACAAGTTGTGAGATTTTTATGTGTGTACTCTACGACTGTACCGGACTACGCAGTACGCATTGATTCTACCTCTCGCTCGAATTGGCTTCACAGCTCCGGTCTGTTTTAAAAAATGAAACTGACCTCATAACAGACTGGATAGGGAAGGAGACATGGAGTAACAAACGGTCGACACGGTGTGACAAAAGAGGAAATTTTCATTTTCTTTTGCTTGTTTACTTGTAGACGTTGTACTAAGCAGCGAGCAGGCATCATGCTTGTTGACTAAAACCTGCTGACAAGTTGACGTGGTAGTCAACATTGAGAAAAAGCAGTTCGAAATGCGAACCGACATTGATTCCGATAGTTTTGGTTGGAAAGTCGCATTCAAGTCTATTGTTAAAAGTTGGCCGTTTTACATGTTTTCAACGCGGTGACCTTTTGAAACATTTTTAAAAGTTGTTGGAACACTTGCCGTGCGGTTTTAGATCGTCAGTAGATATATATACAAATTATTACAAACATTTTTTATCTCCCTTCCCCTCCCTATTCGATAATGTTGCATGTTTACCAAACCTAGACACTATAGCACACGGCCGAAGTAAGATGCTAACTGCGACCCAACGTTGAACAGGGGGCGGGGGGAATCGATGTTTTTCAAACTATAATTGGTAGTTGGTGCACTAATCCGTGTCTCAACACATTTGAAAATAATTGCAGCAAGAGATAAGGAAAGGAAAAATAACGTTTTGCCGAATAAGTAACCTACAAATAACAATAGTGACCTCCAGGGGTGCCGGAGCCACGGGGCAGCTTCCCCCGTTGCCCAACAGTGCGGGGGCATAAGTAGGCTGTCCAACTACTTACTGCTACTAGTAATTAAGAATCTGTACAGCAAAATGTTAACGAACATTGGTGCCCACAAAAATTAGAACTTAGAATTAAAAAAGGTCGTCAGATTTAGATTAGGGTTAGATTAGGGTCAGATTAAGATTAGATTAGGGTTAGGGGTTAGGATCGGGGTGGGTTCAAGTTACGGCAATGTCTTAATTTGAGCGCTTTTTTGACAATTACAGTAAAACATAGCCTTAATTTTCGTTTTCTGTACCTGGCCACATGCACTCACGAGGTTTTAGACTTCCCAGCCAAAACATACTCACCCTAGGGTCAAGACTTTTAAATCAACTTCCCGGGGTGGGGACGTAAATGGAGATCAAATGCCCCACATATGCTCGACCTCCCCCCTCTAGGGCTTAACACTGATAGGTGAATAAGTATGCAAATTTAAGCGTACTACAAATACAAATTCCACATCAATAATTTACCACATCAGGTTTGTACACGAATCAGGAGAAAATCAAAAAAGAGTATGCGGTCAATAAACCCATTTGTTGAATTTTTCTTAAAAATCAGAATCTCGTTTAGATTGGGGATTTAATATGAAAATTGTTTGGGAAAGTGAAAATCCATAACGCCTCCGCACGCTTTGTTCGGCTCGCCGCACATCTGCCTTGTAGAAACTGTTTTTCAAATTGCGAAAAGTCCGCCCCCAGTTGCAATATTAATCTCAAATCATCGAGGAGAATAATATTTCAAAAGTGTCAATCGCCGTTACAGGCCGGTTACAGGATGAAACTCTAAGAAACGATACGAAAATTTCGTATTGAACGGAAGCTTCACCGCACAATATTTTGTACTTTTGTACAAATTTGGCGCGCCTCGCAAACTTTAAATTAATAGTCCTAATTGCCGGTTCAAAAATCAATAAGGAAAAAAAGTATAAAAAGCTTAGTCCGGAACAGATAAAATACAAACAAAGTATTTTTTCATTTGTGTATTTTGTTATATAGCAACAATTTTATGAAATCTGTGTTTAACAATTCATTTCCATACTCTTAACTAAGTCTATCGCGTTTCGTTACAGTTTTGAAAAGAATTTCATATTCTATTTGTTCTTTTATTAGAAATAATTGCAAGGGATGTATTGACGATCAAGCAAAGTGTACGTTTCAAATCTACTGTTCTTCCCCATGTCGGAATTACTGCCAGTCTCCACGGATGATATAATTAATGCCGTATGCCATATAAGGCATATATTCGTTTGTGCAGGTGATGTTAATCATGTTATTCGTCAATATTTATGCATCGTTCGCGATGCCGGCGTATGTTCAATTTATTCAGAACGACATGAAATTTCTTGAGTAACAACAGCAAAACAGCCTCGCCGGCCGCGTGTACATTTCACAGTAACTTTTGACGTCGAGACGCGTCCGATATCACTTCACACATGTTTCGAAAACTACCCGTTGTTGCTATTGTCTCCAAGAAATCAAGACCTTCGTTAGCACAAACACATGAAAGTTGCTGTAAGTGTAAATAGAATCTCGTTCTCATTTCGCCTAGGTTCTAATGAAACCATTGTCATTGAAATTTAATGAGCCTGTGACGTCACAAATTATAGGTTATTCAGAAAGTTTTTAAACGCATTCTGCATAATACAGCTAACGCTAAGCAAAACAAAGACACGATCTTGTGCGCGACTCCCACATATAAGCTTATCGAGGAAAGCCGCATACAAATTCAATTTGACAGACATTGTATTGTCATAAGCATAAATACATAACCTCCTCGCTCTGGGCTAACTATGTGAGAATCTCAGCCATCCAACGCGCATCTTATCCGGCCAAAGATGGGTGTATTTTTTATCGAGTTTTTTCGTTCACTCAAGAAGCCTACGAAATATATGCTTGGAAGAACTTTGCTGTTTTTCGCCTATCTAGTGTTCGGCGCTCTTGTATTTCAGGCGATAGAGTCAGGTGCAGAAAATGGCCGCAAACAGCAACTGGAGTCGGTAAAAGAACAAGTGGCAAGAAAATATGGCATAAGTGACAGAGATTTAAAGTTACTTGTAGATGAGATAGAAATGGCTGTCGATGGGGGTTATTTGAAAGCGGATTATGATCGATGGAATTTCGCTGGATCGCTACTGTTTACAAGTACAGTAGTTACTACAATAGGTATGTTCTCAGTCTATATGTCCTTTAGCAGACTGCAAAAAATAATATCCATCTGGGCCCTCTGTTTGACAAATCGGTTAATGCCGACTATAAATTTGCAAATGATCAGCGGGCTATGCTTCGGTAACGCCGTGATGGTTTGTTTAGAGTCCTAATGACGGATGGATATCAGTTTCAAACTTATTTCTATAAAACCTTTATTTTATAAAGTATAAAACCTTTATTTTATATCCCCAAAACAAGTCGTAACCGTAAGCGATGTACTCCTGTAGTATATCAGTCATTCTACAATTGTACAATTTGAATAAGATTGAATTGAAATGACAAACAGCTGATATTGAATTAAAGCCGTAGAAGAAAGGCATTAAGGTGTATTTCCTGCTCGCTTAGATTCATATAAAGATATATTGTTCAAATAAGATATGCTATGCAAAATAAATGAAATGAAAACTTTCATAAGAGTTCAATATCAAGAAGTTTGTTCAAAACAACATAGATTGTTTTTGTTACCGCCAACTGTGAGAATATCCTAAACTACGGTATAGTCGGTAGATGTTACACACCGGCGCGAAAGTGGATGCTCCACACATGATTCTAATTCGAAAAACAACGTTCTAATTTGTTCTTCGAGGTTCTAAAAAGTATGATTGACGGATAACAAGATAATATATTTGTGAAGGAGCGCCAGGGCCAGATTTCAAATCGAAATCTCGCGAGGTGATCAAAAATGACTTTAATTTTAATTAAGAAAGTTATTTCCAGTTTTCCCATCGCTAAAGTAATAGAGATTTAGTGAGATTATTGATGAAAGGAAGATTTTCAAAATGATTTGCCTGCATTGTTCTAAAAACGCAAGTTCTTTTTTTTATTTCCGTAACGCATGCATGCATGTGCTTTCTGAAGTATATCATTTTTAAAGTATATCAGTCAAAATTTCGAGGCCACATGGCATGCTTGACGTATATGTCGTAAATACTTGTCAAGTATAAACGTGGGCAGCAAAATTAACGAAAACATGAGCATTACATGAATTTTACAACATTTAGAAAGTAGCAAACATTTCTCTTGTGAATATATGCGAATAACATGTACGACTACGATATAACGGAATATTGTTTGCTCATTATACATGTCCATCATCTGAGATTTTCTCACAACTGGATTTTCTATGGATTTTCATATATATATATATATATATATATATATATATATATATATATATATATATATATATATATATATATATATATATATATATATATATATATATATTATACACTATATATATATTATACACTATATATATATATATACTATATATATATATATATATATATATATATATATATATATATATATATATATATATATATATATATATATATATATATATAGGTTCTATCTGTTGAACGTCGGTATCGTCAAAAGATATTTCAGGCCGATATTGATATAAGTAATGTATATAATATATTTATAAGCGATGCATGCTTTATCTTTTTTGTCCATTATCGATCTTTTCAAACAATTTTGCAAAGATTTGTGCGCTAATTTTCAATCGCGCCTACCGACTGTACAGTACAGTCATGATAAAAGAGTCGAATTAATTGTACATATGTTTTCAGGGAATAAAGATACGACAGTCACCGAACTCATTAAGATATATTAAGCAATCTGTTATGCTGGGTTACTGCCCTATTTATCCAGCAAATACTTAGCCGCACTCAGAATAAATATCTTAAATTGGGATTAATTAAAGTCAACCAAGAATTTTGTTCAGAATAAATCGCTGGGAAATCACTGGAAGTGTTACAATAACTTAGACAAACATTCTAATCCATCCTTTATTTCATAAGATTAGACTGGCGCTTTTGGCAGTAATTTTGGACCAATGAGAAGAGTCCCTTCTAATGTGTCTTATTCCATAAAATCCAGAAAGCTGGTTTACGTCGAGATTTATGTCTCCTACTATATGTCTCTGTGAAATTCGAAATTTGATGGCACTAATTGATTTGAAAGGTCTAATGACATTTTATGTGTTGAAACCATTGAAATGGTTGAAACTTCTGTGCATGATAACCAAATTCGTAAACTGTAAATGTTTTCTAAATATAAGTAAGTTTCTTTTTTAATATAAAATTTAAATTTTAATTAAGCATTCCAGCCAATTCGCGCGTGCTCACAGAGACTACTGCATGGGACGAGTGAGTTCCAGAGGCTAGAATGTTAGATGGTAAACGTGTGGCAATTATATTTTTAAGTATGTTTTTTTATTGAAATATTGGTGGGAAGGCTTGTGATTCCTTGCGATTCCTAGCATGCATTGCCGCTGAAACTCCCTTGAAGTAGAAAATAAAAATTTGATGTCAATGGATGACTTGCGCTTTAGAAAAATTTTTAATCTGGGAATAACAAAAGGATATTTTCGGAAAGAAGTTATCAAAATTAGAAAAACTGCAAAGTTTGGTTGTGAAATGTTGTAAAATACGGAAAATATAGCCCTGCGAAGTTGGCAAATTTGTATTGACATTTCTATTACGTGCGGAAATTGGTAACTAATTTAGTTACCAATTCGACGCACGTAATACAAAAGTACTACAAATTTGCCAACTTTGAAGGGCTATATTTTCCGTATTTTACAACATTTCGCAACCAAACTTTGTAATATTACTAATTCCAAGACGCTCTTTCTAGCTGTGGTGATAGATTTCGTTGTTCTTAGATTAAAATTTAGTCTAAAGCGCAAATCGTTCATTAATAAACATTAAGAACATTACAGAGGCGCCATGGTTAATTACGGCCGATATTGGATCGATGCAAGGCGCCCACTCTGCATGTGAAGGTTGGCTTATACGTACGTGTCTTTGTTAAAAGCAAAGTCCCCAAAGATTGTGATCACAACTGATGTTTTGCCTGCATTGATCGAAGTGTTTGTCCATCTAAACCTCAATCAAAAACACCTTTTTACTAAAATATTTGACGGTCACAGATTCTGTGATCACAGAAACCTATAGTAACAATGACACGTGGCAACACCAGAAACGACTTAAAAAATGGCTTCTTTCGTGGTTATGAAATTTTCCATTCAGAACTCATTTCCAAATGCGGAGAAATCTGTTCTAAATTAGACCCTAGACATTCACAATTTCGGCTCCGGGGACCTCCGGATGATGATGCCACTCATTAATGATGCCGCTCGTTTTCGGAATCTATGTTTGTTTTCCCCCACTCACCACCACCACCACCACCACCACC